CTGACCGGCAAACGGAGACCTCCCAGCCCAAGAAGGTGGAGATCAGGCAGAGCACGGGCAAAGAAGCCCTGCAAAATTTGGACCAAAAGGTAATATATAGACTGTTTTATATTTCTAGTTACGTGTAGGCTGTGCTGCCGTCTGTGTGGGCTTGCCAGTGATTTATGAGTTTGACAGAAGTTGTATCGCCTACATTTCCCATGATGCAGCGTGATGTAATAGAGAAGAGTGGCATAGTCAGAGGGCGTGGCTGCTCGGCTCCATTTTTGTCGTAAAATTTGGTCGTACTGTTTGGTTTCCATGGTGACAGTCCAGGTTTAGTGCAAGGAAACACTAGGCTGGTTTTTGGTGTGACTGCATGTGGTAAGGTATTATTAGTCATGATGCAGCCTACTGGCTAGGCTTATAAAATCCTCTTTGTTATTTTGACATTTTGGGCTGATTGTTTTTAGAAATAAATAGGCCTAATGTAAAATTGTGTCATAATTTTATACAGGCTTTTCTATTACATTGCCAGTTAGAAAAGACATGATGAATCTTTATTTCAATTGCATTATAGTCCCTCTGGGACTGAGCTGGAATCCTGGTCTAGTAAGAAGGTGTAGGCTTAGCTGAAAGAGTCTACTGTGAATGTTTGGGTTGATGAGTAAAACAGGAGAGAGAACCCACCTAAACACAAAATCACAATATCCTGAAGGAATTGAACCTGCAACTGTACTGGTATATAAGATGAAGTACTTAAAAAAACATACATCTACTTATTGTTTCAAAAATAACTACAAGAGACTATATCAGTTCAATGTGAAACATCTGACTATTATTCTCTTCATGAGACTAAAATCATTCACCCTCTTGCAGTGGGTCACTGGGCCAGACTTCATGTAATATTCAACACTCATAAACTATTCAAACTGTTCCATTTTGTACAATATTTTAGGACACTTCACGATTGGTGTTTTGGTATTTGTATGTGGGTGATGCTTTGAGGAACTCCTCTGTTCCAGAGGAATGTCTCCACCCAGCTCCATTTAACACAACAGTGCTGTTATATCATCAGAAACAGGTACTGACAAAACGTTTACAAGTTTACGATTACAGTGAGTGTATTACAATGTTTTTGTTTTTCTGTAAGCCACTGTACTTTTTAAAATAAAAATGTGATTAATTTCCAAATCCTAATGTTCAGGAAATCTAGACTCATATATATATATATATAATTATTTATTTCTTAATAAATAATTATTTATTTCTTTTCAAGTACTGTGCTATTCTCCCCCATCCCTGCGCGCTGCTATTGACACATAAAAGCATTAACTCTGTGGACCCCAGTGAGGCAATGACAATTAAGGATCAATACATCCATCAGTGCTCATAGAGCAGGACGTGCCCAGAGCCAGATGGAGCGTCCTTGGGCTCGACATATGTCAGTGAAGGCAACAAAAGCCTTCTCCTCACTGTCCTGCCATAAGTCTACTGTACAACCTGCCCCAGTGCCACTGCAGCGGTGCGTTCAGTGTCTCACGAGGGTTGTAAATCTGAGCATGCTGTGGAGCTGATCCAGGGGAGTGACTTGCATCTCGGGATTGTGCTGTCAGTCTGTGGGAAACAAAAGAGCTGAGTACAGACATTTACAATTGAGAAGTTACATTTGGCTAAATCAAACCATCTTTTTGGAGCTTTAACAACATTTTTAAAGCCACATTATGTAACATTTTAGCCAAAAAATAGATGAAAATAAAAACATGTTTTTTTGTTTTTCATTTTGGTTATGTTTATAGCACTGAAAAACATAAGAAAACTCTTCTTACTGAGTGGACTTGCATCTCCACAAACTGATTCTTATTTGGCCTTCTGCTTGTTTCCATGGAAATGTTCCTTTAGCTATAATATTCCACAGTGTGGCATACAACATATTTATATATGGAGAATATTCCAGAGTATGGTTTTCACTTTCCATGGAGTTATGTTTGTGAGGTACCACCTCCACTTGGTGACATACTGTACTTAAAATTGGCGTTTAAAAAATATCAGCTTAGCTATTGTCCACATGCTGCGAGCATTTGTAAGTGGAGTAGATTAGATCTCTCACAATACATTGCAACTGAAATGCAATCACAATTGGAGATCAACTGATATGCTCTGCCGATATTTGGGCTGATATGCTATTAGGGTTATTGATAATTGTTCCCAAATGGTATGAATTTAATACACCAAACAAACTTATCCACAATCTTATTTCACTAATGCAAACCAGTGAGAGCTGTGCAGTCACATTTTGAGATGTGACATCTTCACACTTATGTGTTTAGAGAGTAGAGAGTTGAAACCAAGTATGTATTTGCATAAACAACATAACTGCATGTTTTTGAGGTGCAGCTAGATTAATCACAATCAAACTGAAATCGATGGATGGGCACAATTGGCCAATCAGAAAGGCTGCTACTTTTGAAGTACCATAATTTCCTCTACAAATGACAAAATATTCCACTATTCTACATAAAAAGCTGCTGCAGTTTAGATCTGTACAAATGTTCTGAAATGTGATTTTTAGATTAGTTTGTAGTTTAAAATATAAATTGTAAATCTAATCAGTAGTGTAATTGGGTATTGCCTGGCATGGCGGAGGAGGAGTCTGAAAAACACTTTTGGGTTGCTGCTGTTAAAAGCTGTAATGGTGGTGTGAGCTCCACTCTCAGGTTTCATATTGATCCACAGCTTCAGCAACATGATCCACTCTGCACCTCTCAAATCTACCACATTCTGTGCTCTGTAGCTTTTATCAATCATGCAATAAAACATGTTATGCTAAGTCAGCTGTTTAGAGACAATGTACTATGCACCAAGGGCCATGCTGCTAGTTTGTCTTTTAAAAATGTGTCACTTTCCGTTGTTGCCAGCAGAAGATATTAGTACACAAGCATAAAAATGATGTTGTGTTTGACATAGTTTATAGTAGCCGCTCTGCTGAGTTGTGTTTATGTTTGTCAGCATCATCATTATGCAACATTGATTTTCTACCATGTTATAACGTTCCATCATCAAAAACATGATTGAAGAGGTTTTAGATGTCATCCATGCATGTTTGAGTAACCTTGCCATCACCCCGCGCCCTACTCAAACCCTCCTTATGGTTCGCTGTAAGACTGTCCAATGTCTACATCATCTATGCTCCCACACAGCATAAATAAAACAAATATACAAGAGCAGGACACAAAACAAAACTTCACAAACCTGATGTGATGTGCAGTAGCTCCAGTGGGATGCACGCTGATTGTGTTGTGATAATGCTCTGAAGGGAGGAGATCTCAAAGCCTCAAAAACAACAGAGACACTAATTAAACATTTTAGATAACAATAAAAAGTGTTGATAGTTAATACCCCACAGAAGTGTAATAACCCTGCTTTAATGAAATGTATTCATAATATACTTACCTTCAATCGAAATATTTTTTATAGGCATCTATCTTGCCCTGAGGTGATTCAATATTGACTATTTGCTGTTGTGGGCTTTGTATTCAAGTAATGCCACTGACAACTCTTTCTTTGTAGCCTAGTGGACAATAATCGGGTAATCATCTGCATTTAAAAACCTCTATTTTTATATTTGAATCATGTCTGTGTGTGTCAGAGTCATTTTTTAAAATTTATTTCACATACTCAAATACACAATCAATAAAACAGACATCCAAACCACACAAACAGCACATAAAATACACAGGGTGACATCAAACCCCCCCTCAAATACACTTAACCAAACCTAATAAAAGTGCAACATAAAAAACAGGGCAGACGGATACTGTTACGTTATAGATATTTCCTGTAGATGTTGCATGTTTTAGTAGCTTTTTTACTTTTTATCTGTTTTATTATCTCGAAATATTGTTGTATTTTGTTATTACAGTGGTTTATATTTGGTTTATTTTGAGTCCATTTTGTTTTGTGTATATAATATTTGGCCAAAATGATGAGTCTGAATGAAGAAGGAGAGATCTTTGAGAATGGAAGCGTTGTTGAAGAAGAGCAGGATTAGAGTGAGCAGATTTCAAAATAAAAAACTGGGACTCCCTCGGTTTGTGGTGGTTGGTAATAATAAAATTGTGAAACAAGTGCGTAATTAAAGAATATTTTTCTGCACTCGGCCCATTTATGACTACCTTGTGAGTCAGTATAGTCACATTTTCTTTGTGGTTTGCTTGTTTTTCAGCAGCTTTTGTGTATTTTACTCAAACAAATGGCAATTTATGCCTCTCTTTACTGTTTGCAGGTATAGGGTGACCAGATTTTCAAAATTCTAAACTGGGACACACCCAGGTTGGGATGTTTGGTATAAATAAAACTGTGCCATAATCTGAGGGGCTTCTGTTGCTGCAATGTTTTGGTTTTCCATATTTTGGGGACACAAATGACAATATATTCTCCTCTTTACTGTTGGCGGAGATCAATATTAGTCAAAAAGTGTGATAATCCTGCTTTAGTCCTGGTTTAGAGTTGATGTAGTGCTGGTTTAGTCTTAGTTTAGTCCTTGTTTAGATCTGGTTTAGATCAAATAAGTCAAAAATAGGGACACCAAGGACATTTCGTGTATAAAACTGGAACAAATCACTGGACAGGGGACACAGTGCTCAAAACTGGGACTGTCCCGGGTAAATATGAACATCTTGACACCCTAGGCAGGTATCAAACTTGTCAAAAGGGACATTTCTTGTATAAAACTGGGACAAATCCCTAATTTTGTATAAATCTTCTGGGACAGGGGACACAGGGATCAAACCTGAGACTGTCCTGGGTAAAAAGGGACGTCTGGTCACCCTAGTCATGCCCTGTGCGGTTTGTTGAATGAAGCACCAGACTAGAGGCAGTAGTGGCTGTAGCAGGGCGAGGCTCTGCGCATGCCCCGTTGGCTTCCCCTCTCCCGGAGCTGGATCGCGGTACCTCCTCCTCCTCCTCCTCCGCCGGCTGCCCTGCCTCTCCTCTCCTCTTGTGTCTGTCTCCTCTCGGCTCTCTGCTGCATCGGACACCGGGGAGGCTGCTGCCGCTGCCACTGCCGCCACTATACAACCCCTTACCTCGCTCCAACGCCCGGCTCCGAGTCTCACATCCACAAGCCTTCCCCGGGATCTGCTTTTTGAGTCGAACCGCAACCGGGCTGAGCTCTACTAACAACCAACAGGCTGCAGTAATCCTCTCCATCCGCCGACATGTCTGGATATCAGGGCAAGAAGAACATACCCCGCATTACCGTGAGTTTTGGCTTATTTTACGGGAATTTCTCACTATAAACGCGCTTACCCCCTTATGGAAGCGTTAACGGATTATCACACGCTATTTTTTTGTCTTTTCTAACCTGTTTTTTCATCCAAATACGCCAAAAAACCCGTAATCTTCCATTTATTTTAACGCAACTCATGATTCTGCTTTTAAAATGATGCACGCGCCTAACTTTTGACTTAGTTTTCGCGCCAAAAGCTGCATTCTCTGACAAAATGGTGACAAACCGAGATTATTTGTGCATTTTTCTTTACCGTGTTCGTTTCTGCGTCCGTTTTTAGCTTGAGACCGGTGTAGCGGTCTTCTTTAGGGGGTGTGGGCTGCTGTCACTTGTCGGCTCCTCAAATAAAACGCGAAAATACGAAAAGAACTGAACATGCTAATCACAGAACTAGCATTAACGCTACATTTTTGCATTTCCAAATCAATTAAACGTGCTTTTTTTTGTTCATTCCTGTTCCAGTTTTACCATTAACGCTAATAACACCAATACCACATTATGTACAATCAATGGCTGGCTATTAGAATGCACTTACCCTATTGTGAAACCGGGAAGTCAAAATAAAAGGCTTTGTTGCAGGCGGACTAATAATTTGTAAGTATTATGCATTGATTAACAGTTTGATTAATGCTCTTGTGAATGTTTGTGAAATGAATTGCTTTGAACAACTGGTGTCACATGCAGTTTTGTCAATGAAATAATAATATTTCTTTTCCTTTTTTAGTTGCATCTTCAGTTCTCGGTAATGGAACGTTGCAGCGGTTTTATTCCACTATGCTCATCCAGGGAGAGGCAGGGAGGATGGAACAGGGAGGGGAGCGTGGAAAGGGAGGGGACCTAGCTGGCTGCTGCTGCTGCTGTTCCAATGCACGTTTCTCTGGCTAAGCTGAGGGGAGGGACAGAGGCCGGCGGGATGGCGGGATGGATGGATGGGTGGATGTGGATGTGTGTGCATGCCGCAGAAGAAATAAAGAGGTCACTGCCCAGAAGAGAGCAGATAATTGGGTTTGCATGGATTAAATTGGACCAAATCAGGCTGGCGAAACATGTGAAAAGAAGGAGCTGTGGCTAATGCTAGTAGGAATTTTGTGGTCGGATGGAGAAGTAGTTAGGCAAGACAAAATGCTGGGTTTTTAGATGACATGGCGACATCTTTAGAGCGACATGGTGTGATTTAAATAGGGAGGAAAATTGTAGTTAGCTTGCTATTTTTCTGGTGTGGTTGTATAGCTGCATGATGGATGTGGGTGTACCAGGCTTGCGATAATATTAGGGTGACCAGACTTCCCTATTTACCCAAGACTGTCCCAGTTTTGAGCCCTGTGTCCCTATATCCAAGCAGATTTATCCAAAACTATTAATTTGTCCCAGTTTTATACAAGAAATGTCCCAAGTGTCCCTATTTTTGACCAGTTTCATACCTCCCAACTGTAAAGAGAGGCATACATTGTAATTTGTGTAGGTAAAATACAAAAAATCATCTTAAAAACAACCAAAACACAAAGAAAATGTGACTATACTGACTCACATGTCAGTCATGAATGGTCTCTGCATAACTATTTTCCTTAATTACGCGCTCGTTTCACAGTTTTTTTTATTACCAACCACCAAAAAAATGAGGATGTCCCAGTTTTTGATTGTAGCATCAAAACTCATGATACTAATCAGTATTATAATATCTACTGAACTGTTTCTGTAATAAACTAGATACTCATTTGAGAAAGTATTGATACTGAAAAAAAAAAAAATACAGTAACAGGACAAAATTTGAGCATTCCTGAACAGTTTTAATATGATTTTGAGCTTTACTGGAATGAATTTCCAGAACACCTCATTATTTTGTAAGCTTTTTTCATCTTTATTGTGGTATTGAGTATAGAGTGAATTTCTTAGTATTGAAATTTGAAGTTTATGACAAAACTGAAAGTACTGCCAAATGTTTGTTTTCAACACAATATACATACATTCGTTATAATGGACATTGTGAATCTCACAAAAAGTCCGTAAGCCTGAGATTTTAGACTTAGACAAACTTTATTGATCCACAAGGGAAATTATTTGGACATCTTGAGACTTTAAGTTTTGAGTTGCCAATTTTTACCATACAAAAAAGTTAGAATACTAATATTTATGCATACAACAGTCTTATTGACCGGTAACCTATATTTGTGGTTATTGATATCAGGATTTTAATATCAGTTTTGGTAAATTTCACAAATTTGAACTCACTGGCCTCATCTGATGCAGCCAGTTTCCTCTAATATCCCTGATACCATAGCACCATTATATCATCCACCCTTAATAGTTTCATTATTAGACTCTTACACAAGCAGGAATGTTGGAAGCATGGCCAAAATGTGCTCAAAAGATGTTCTATTAACTGTAAAAAGGATAAGACTCTGTAATGTCTTTTTGTCCACATTGAGGAGACAAAGATTAGGGCGGTGCAGTGAAATACTGTACAGATGCATGTGTCCTCATTTAATCAGACAATCATAGCCTTCAGGGGTTTGACATAACTCCAGATGAACAGTCTGTCAGGTCCCGTTTTTTTCTAATGTTTGCAAATGTCACTTCATCTTTATTAAAAGTGAAATATATAGGTCTTGTGACTGTCTGGGGATAAGAAGTGTCTGTCTTTCTCCTTGAATAAGAGTCTTTGATTAAAATGAGTCCTTGTTGCGTTGCTAAGTAAGAATGATCATTGTGCTTGGAGAAGTGGTACGTTCTTGTGAGCATGTTGGAAAGGCTTTCCTGAATATCTTGAAAAGGAAAAAAGGAAAATATAGCAGCTATTGGTTGTTTGCTTCTCATCCATTTTAATTACTAAAAGCTGCAGATTGATTATTCCAGAAGTTGATAATTCACTGTCCATTTGGGATTTTCTGAATGGACTACTGCAGATCGGAGGATAAATTTCTATAAGTTATTACTAGGGCTGCTAATAGTTTATCTTGCAAAGTGATTTGCAGTTTTATTATGTTTAAAGTATTGCGAGTGCTCGGCGTGCTTGCTGACAGCGGCCCCTCCCACACAGTGTCTGCAGCAGTTGGCCCAGAGATGAGAGGATTAGAGCAGTTGTAGTCCAAACTCTGATTATGTCACACCTAAAAGGATTGACTTCCTATTCTTGACCTATGCAGGAAGGAATCTGCCCACAGGCACCAGGCACAATACTACTTTATTAAAGCCTGTCATTAAAAAAGAATTACACTGCAGCTCAGGCTATTGTTTAAACAAGACGACTTAGCACGGTGTTTTTTTTTGTCTGTCAAATCTCAAAGCGATGACTGCATACTTACGCTTAAAGCCCTATTTTCTGTTTTATGTTATAATGTGGTTTCATTCTCAAAACATACCCGGGGTTGTGTTTTGTTTCGTTCACGCATGTTTAACACACAAATCCTCACTTGTGATGTCATGTGGTAATACAAGAAGTGCTCCACTGTGTTTTTATACTCCATACACTGTCACTAGAATCATTTCGGTCATTTCTGCAATGGAATTTCTTATCTCTACTGAACAAAAGGTAAAAGGTAAGGTAGCTTTTAACTTGAAAACTACTGCTTCATGACATCACAAGGTGGAACAGCGCATTTTGAACTTTGTAGATGTAGACAGACTTATAATAAAGGGTTACTCAGAGATGTATGGATGAAACAAAACAAACTATAACATTGCGTAAAGTTTTGTGCAATATAGGACAATTTAACTGCTCAGAAGTTAGGTTTTGCTTTACATGTATTTATCTGTTAACTGTTAGACACTGTTAGACCTGAAGATGGAGTATTATCGAGTCGCAGAGTCTTTTGGAAATGACAATGACAATATTAAATAATCATGACTGAAACATATTCCAATATTTATATCTAAGAATTAGGGCTGCAGATATACAGATACAGCTATACAGACCCTAATATAGTGTTGTCACAATACTAAAATGTCAAACTTGAAGACAATATTGTAATTTTCAACACAACATAAAACTGTTTGTTTATTATACCATGTTATCTTACATAAGTTCTGATAAAACTCAAAATTACACTGTTCAGAAAGGGCCAAATTTGATCCAGTTGTGTGATTTATTATGATTATTTTTTCTGTATCAATACCTGCTTAAACGGGTATCTAGTTTTGATACTAGTTTCGATACTAGTTTCAATATGTTTGACAGCGTACTCTAAAACAAATATGAAAATACAGATTACACAATTACAACAAAGACAGAAGCATTATTAATTCAATATTTCAAAAAACAATAAACAATTACAGATTTACCACAATAATACTTAGACTTAGACTAATTTTATTGATCCACAAGGGACATTATTTGGACACAGTTGCTCAAACATCACAATATAATATAATAACAAAGAGTAACAAATATAAATGGTAATAATAAATAATAAATTCAAAATAATTAGCCAAAAGGAGCAAGAGACAGGTGTCCAATAAGGCATAATTTTATAAATGTATATGTACAAACCAAAATAAAACAGAAAAAGAAGTAATAAAATATATAATCTCAGTGTTATACAAGAGGTCATAGAAAGACAATAATAATAATAATACACTTTATTTATAAATATTCTATATTTAGAAGCCTTCAGTAGCGTTAACCTTTATTTGGTTGGTCTTTAAAAAGTCTCAGTATACAATGTTCATTTGACTAGCTGATTGACCCAAAAAAAACTAATGTAATCTATCTACTTATTAAATAATCGTTAGTTGCAGCCCTAGTAATTACTGAAATGTGTTATCATTTATGTCTTGGTCCTAACTGTTTAATCATTTTCTAGTTTTGAATGAATGATTTGCCATCTCAGTTTTATAAATAAATTTTATGAGTAACGCGGGGCTTAAATGCTTGAATGTATTCCGTAATTGTACTAGCTCCATGCAGATGACAATGAGGATATGATCAGTGTAAATGAGAAGTAAACGTGTGCAGCTGAGAGCCCACTCACTTCC